TTGATCCATTCAGTGTTGACATAATTTTTTAGCAAATGGTTCCCCAATTGTCCCTGCACCCTTATATAGTAATTCACCTTTTCTCCCACTTATTTGAGAATATCTCTCTCCTATATGCCAGTTTTCCTTAAGTATTTAAACTTTTTTTTTCTATGCGTATTTGAGTAATTTCTAGACCAGCAGGTCTGTGTCATTGACCTATCATACTATTTTAAGAGTAGGCTTTATAATATGTTTAATATCTGAGAGGGCCAACACTCTTTACTACTGTTAGTTTTTTTTAAAGATTTTATTTATTTATTCATGAGAGACACAGAGAGAGAGAGGCAGAGACACACGCAGAGGGAGAAGCAGGCTGCATGCAAAGAGCCTGATGTGCGACTCAATCCCAGGAATCCGGGATCACGCCCTGAGCCAAAGACAGGCGCTCAACCGCTGAGCCACCCAGGTGTCCCTATTGTTAATTTTTTAAAAATTTTATCTTGCTCGTTTTTTTCCAAATAATATTTTAAAGATTGTATTTATTTATTCATGAAAGACACACAGAGAGGGTCAGAGATATAGGCAGAGGGAGAAGCAGGCTCCCTGTGGGGAGCCAAATGGGGATTTGATCCCAGGACCCCAGGATCATGATCTGAGACAAAGACAGATGCTCAACCACTGAGCCACCCAGGTGCCCCTCCGAATAATTTTTAAAAATCAATTTATCTACTTCATGATCCCATCTCCCCAAAAAATGAACAAACAAACAAACAAACAAACAAAAAACCTGTTGGTACTTGTACTGGAATCACATTAAACTTATATATTAACTTGATTTATTTTGGATAGACTTCCTACCTAAGATCATATTTTTTCCAATCTTTACAACAACTCTAAACAATGAAGTCTTCTTTTATTATTATTATTATTATTCTCATTTTATAGTTGAAGGAATTGTGTAACTTGCTCTGGGTCACACACAGCATAAAAGGGGTGGGAATTGCCAGATTGGTCTGACTTTAAGCTTCTGTTCCCCAAACAAACTCAGGGAGGGAGGGAGCCAGCTCCTCTTTGTGCCTTGCTACTTAGTAGCTGTCTGCCTCCAAAGCCCTGTGCTGTCATCTGCCATGTTCCAACTCCCAAATTCCTGTTCCACTGTCTCTCTTGCACTGGACAGTTCACAGGCAAAACTAGGCTTTTCAATGAATGATTCAAATCCAAATGTTCCACTGAGGCAGTTGGGGAGAACCTTCTCGAAGAAGGAAAACTCAAAGTTTTCAGACAGACAGAATTTGGACTGGGGGAGGGGATGGGAAAGCAGAACCACAATTGAACACCAATAAAAAATTAATTTATTAAAAAAGTATATTATGACTCTCAAAAAAAAAAAAAGAAAGCAGAACCACAAGGGGAAAATGGGTGAACCAATTTGACATCTAATTGGGAGGTGGTAAGGGCGATGGTGAGGGTTTCTGTTGGAGTTGAGGTAGAGAGAGGGTCTCTCTGTCCTGCCCATGAAAAGGCATCTTAGGGGATCCCTGGGTGGCTCGGCGGTTTGGCGCCTGCCTTCGGCCCAGGGCGTGATCCTGGAGTCCTGGGATGGAGTCCCACATCGGGCTCCTGCATGGAGCCTGCTTCTCCCTCTGCCTGTGTCTCTGCACCTCTCTCTTTCTCTCTCTCTCTCTCTCTCTCTGTGTGTGTGTCTCTCATGAATAAATAAATAAAATGTTTAAAAAAAAAGAAAGAAAAGGCATCTTAAAAAAAAAAAAGGCATCTTAGTTCTCCCTGAATCATCTGCCAAAAGAGATTTGGGAGATAGATATAAACTCAAAAAAATTTCATATACCTTCTGCAGGTGAGGGAATTTTGTCATTGTCATTGCACATGACTCAGACGCTGAGACCTATCTGCTTTAGGAAGGCCCTGGCAGCTGGTTGTATGGGCAGAGCATGAGGTTGCATGAGGATTACTTAGGCTCCACTGGCCTGCGATAGAGACACAAATCTAAAAGAAACAGAGAGGCATTCCAGAGTTCATTTTAGTCAAGGTCCAATGCCTCTGGTGGCCACTTATCGACTTGCTCAGGGACCTAGGAATAACTTGCTCTTTGGCCCTCAGTAGATGGGTGGAAGGCTAGATAACCTGGGCCCTGGGAACTCAGCGTACCTACCCCCTTTGTCAAAAATAAACAAAGCCTGACACTAAGGTGGTAAGGACAGATTTTAACCAGGAATATACTACTGCAATAAGGAAGAGGGTCCGATGTGAACTGAACTCATTTTCTATTTGTACAGGTGACTGGGCATCTTATTTTTATTTTTATTTTTTAGATTTTATTTATTTATTCATGAGAGACACACACAGAGAGGCACAGATACAGGCAGAGGGAGAAGCAGGCTCCTTGAGGGAAGTCCAATGCGGGACTCGATTCCGGGACTCTGGCATCACGCCCTGAGCCAAAGCTAGACGCTCAACCACTGAGGCACCCAGGTGCTCTGGTACCTGGGCATTTTAAAGAGAGAATGAGGGAGACTGGAGGAATGAGGGAGATTGAAGCAGGGACTCAGTAGAGTCAGGGAAGTGAAAAATGACAAAGGATTGGTCAGTGTAAATGCTTAGGCCAGCTGTGTCTGTTAGCTGGCAATTATGGAAGTTAGGATTCTATCTTCCCATGGATACTGGGAGACAGAGGCCCTATTCTTCCTGACGATTACATTTCAAAGGAATGGGTTTCAGGTCCTTAGGAAAAGCAGACCAGAGCTGTAGGAGATACATATACATCTCAAAGGGACAGAAGGAGTCACAGTTGCAAAACCTTTGTAGTAAATGCTTAAGTTGGAGTAGTCTCTTATCTTTAGGTGTTGGCTAAAGCAAACAGTAAATTCTTTCCCAGCAGGCCTGAGCTTTATCTGGCCTGCACTTTAGTAGAGCTAGGGTCATCTAGGTAAGTGGCTTTGAGTTGTTAGAAACTATATTATGGTGTTTAAGTCTTTAATGTGCGGGAAGGAGGATGGATGAAATCATTTGTGGTGAGGAGTGTAGTTTTTATAGGCCAAGGTTGAGGACTATTGGAGAACAGAACTCAAGAGGAACCTGGCTTGGGTTTGTTCAAGCAGTGAATCTTTGTCACCTGACAACTGGGAGATTCTAGGATTGTGTCTGTGGTGTGATGGTCACCAAACTTTGTCTTCAGGGGTTTACAGTTCCCCCAGAACATCAGGACAGCAGGTGGGAAGGAGAAGCTCACCTAAGAGGTCAGGAAGCCACCTCCCCACCTCTCACTACCCTAGCCTGTTTTGTTTTTATTATTTATTTTTAAAAGATCTTATTTATTTATTTGGATGAGAGAGAAAACAGGATTGGGAGGAGAGGGATCAAGCAGACTCCCACTGAGCAGGGGGCCCAGTGTGGGGCTTGATCCCAGGACCCTGAGATCCCAACCCGAGCTGAAGTCAGATGCTTAACGGACTGAGCCACCCAGGTGCCTCCCCAGCCTGTTTTAGGTCCTAGCCGCCCAGAGGTAATGGATTCTACTAAACCCACAATACTTCCAGTCGAGATCACATCCCTTGGCTTACATCTCTGGGGAGGGGAGAGCGTGGAGGGTGGAGTCAGCGCGAGGTGTACCTCAGCTACCGCCCTTGGCAACAGAAAACCTTCCCAGCTTTAACACAAACAAACAAACAAACAACAACAAAAAAAAACATCAAGGGCTAAAGTCCCAAACACTTTTCCGTCAGATGGTCCACGTCGTATTTTTCTTTACAGGATGAACTGATTTGTTTATTGATCACAATTAAAAAGAGCACTTCTGTGCTAAACTAAGCTAGGACCCTGCCTTTCATGGCCTGGCTCTTCAGAGGCTAATATTCCGCAGCAGGCCTAACCGTGAAGGACAAAGCCAGAAGTCCAGCAAACAAAGAGCAACAGCAGTAGCAGTTCTCAAAGTGGTTCCCCAGGCCATCAATCTCACCTGGGATATCGTCAGAAATGCAAATTCCCAGGCACACCCTAGAGTCAATGAAACAGAAACTGCGAGTGGGGGCCAGCTATACTTGAGCAAGCTCTCCAGGAGACTCTGATACACGCCACAGCCTGAGAACCACTGACCTACAGGCTCCCGCTCGGCCAGAGACGAAGCTTGGAGGGTCAAAGTGCGGTCGACCCGGGGCTTCATCAAGGGTTTGAGTTCGGCTTGGAAGTTGGAGAAAGGACTTGATAACAGAAGACATGGAAACAATATTCAAAACGTGTGCGCCTTACCCTAAGCAGTAGGGGAGCTAAGAGCATCTGACCAAAAAGAAAAAAAAAGAGAGAGAGAGAGAGAGAGAGAGAGAGCGCGACTGGAATGAGGTGCTCCGGGAAACCCACAGTCCCTCGGCTCCCTTCCCCCGGGTGGGGAAGACCCCACGCCCACGCCGCTCCGGGAGCTCCTTCTCCTCCCGCCCGAGCGCAGAGGCCCCACCGCGGCTCCTCCGGCTTGCGGAGCCCGGCACAAAGCCAAGCGGGTCTCAGGTCGTGGCTCTCCGGGACCGCGAGTGGGAACTGTACCCGGGGCGCCGTTCGGGGGCCCGGAGGCTTCCCCTTCAGCCGGGCTCGGCCGCAGCTGGCCACAGCCACGTCTCAGAGGCATCCAGGGCTCATCCGCACCTCCCTGGGGACTCCAGGTATTCATCCCGAACCGGGGGCACCGCAGACCCCACATGCTCTGTTTCAGACGCCGGGAACCCAACCTTCGGGGAACGGAGACTTCCCATCCCCCCTCTGCCGACCCCACCTCCTGCACGGTAGACGCCCCCCCGGCCCGGGCCGAACTACAAAGCCCACAATCCCTGGGGCGCGCGCGCTGTCTTCCGGGAGCTGTAGTCCTAGATGTGAGACACCCCTAGCGGCCCAGGGCCGCCTGCACTCCATATCCCAGCAGGCCCGCGCGCGTGCGGGTGGAGGAGGGAGGGGAGAGACGGGGAGGATGTGAATGGGGAGGGGGCAGCCGCCCCCTTCCCCCACCCTTCCCTTCAAGCCGGGCTGGGGTGGGGGGAGGGGCCGGGCTGAGGCGGCGGCGGCGGCTCGCTCCGGGAGGGCAGAGCCGGCAAGGGCGGGACTGGCCTGCTGCGGGCGGACGGGGGAGCCGCGGAGCTAACGGGTCCGGACGTCGCCAGCGGCGGAGCTTTCTGCACGGGCGGAGGCGGCGGCAGGAGCGGCAAGCATGGCCCGCGCGGCGCCCGGCGCGGACTGAGGTGCGCGGGCGGGATGAGGGCGGGCGGGATGCGGGGCGCCCCGGGCCGCTGGCTGCCCGAACCCCTTACGCGCGGGCAGCTGGCTCGGCCCAGCGGCCCAGACCGGCCCGGTCCACCGCGGCAACTTCCCCGGGGTCGGAGCTCTGGGCGCCCCCAGGGAAGCGGGGTCCGCCTGTCTTGGCCTCAGTCCCCATCCCCGCCTTCTGCTTCTGCACCTCAAGCCGTTCCACTCCTTGGTGGCAGCCCCCAGCCCCGCCTCTGGGAAGCGTCCCCTGCCCCAGTCCCGACTTACTGCCCCCCGGCTGGTTCGTCCCCCCAAGCCCCGCGCGCTCCTGGGGACCCCTGCCTCGCTCCTCCTGGCCACAGGCTGTCTGCACCATCAGCACCTCTCTCCTCTTTCCCCTACTTGGCGCTGCCCCCTAGCCACCCCCAATGGCCAGGCTCTCTCTGAAAAATCTAACAGCTTGACCTCCTTTCCACTTTGGAGAAACTGAGGCATGACAGTAAAGCAGGAACTTGGTCAAGGCCATGCCCCAGTCCTTTGGGGGCTGGCCTGAGACCGTGCTTTGGAATGGAAGTCATTTTTCTTTCCTCCAGCCGTTCCACTGTAACTGGACCAAACTTCCCAAGCCCCCGGCTGCATCTCTGGGCTGAGCTCACTTTAGGTTCTCCTTTGGCTTTCCACCACTTCTGCTGACCCCCTCCTCCTTCCCATAGCCCACCTCTGACCCTCTCTGCCTGTAGAGAGCCCCCCACCCATTGCTTTTTTGCTCAAGATAGCCTTTCGATTTCTATTTCTTGTCAACTGCATCCATCTCCCATCTTGTCTCTTGCTTTACAGCTGCGTACAACACCAAATAAGACTCTAAGGTATTGGGAGGATGGGGGAAGAGAAGTGCTGGTGGCAGGAGGGGAGTGGCAGCCTCTTGTAGCCAAAGCTGCTGAGGGGCTTCAGGGCACTCTGAGGCCCCTGGGCAATAGTCATTCCTAGCCAGGAACTCACACTGTCATCTTGTCTTTGGGACAATTGTCTAGACGCCAGTTGGTCCTTCTTTCCTCTTACTATGCCTGGTGGGCCCTGAAGTCCTTCTGGGATGGAGAGAACTTCCTACCTTAGTGGAGATGGTGACATAAAAGGAGTCTGGGAGACCACACCCCTAAAACTTATCTGGATTCTGCTGCTAACTTTGGAGGGGGTTGCCAATTCAAGGAAGGATGCCTGCTAGGTGCCCCGAGCACTTTGTGGAGGAAGGTACAGTGTCTGTAGGCGGTGATCTCGAGTTGAGTCGTGGTGTTCAGGATCCGAAGGGAAGAGAACCAGAGCTCTGAATGGTGACACAGAGTTGCCTAATTCAGGTTTTTGTTTTCTAGTCTTCCTTTGGTTAATTTGCCTTTGGCTCGCCCCTTTCCAGCCCAGTCCTCAGTTTCCCTGTGGGAATTTGGGGGAGGGAGAGAGGGAAATCTCTGAGCCATCAGGAAGGCTCGAGGAGGCTCTGGGAGTTTGCTGGGGTCCTGAGTGCGCAATCTTGATCTGAACCAGATGGCTCACTGCTTCAGCACCCCCTTTTTTGACCCCTCCCCCTTAGCTGTGAATAGCACGCCTTTAACCTTGTAACTTGAGATTAGAGGAAGGGAAGCCAGGGGGCCAACTGTCTGTGTGTTTATGTCTCCATCTGCACACTGTGTGCAAGCTTGCCAGGGGCCTCTGGGAGTGACCCTGCCCAGGAATGCATTGTTGTGATGTGCTGTGGCATGTTCATGGCCCTCTAGGAACTTTGTGAGCCCAAACCTATGATAGGGCTGATTTCGAAGTCCCTCAGAAGCACTGTGTGTGGCCTCCTTGGGAGCATTTCCCCACATGTCAAGCTTCTGGACCTGAGACATGCCTCAGGGTGAGGATCTCTCTTCTTGAGAAAGCTACCTGCGGTTGAGAAGTCCGAAATAGCAGCACTGGGGGTGGATTTCCACAGCTGGTGTTTTTTTCCCTAGTTATGACAAGAGCAGGTCTGAGGAGTAGGGGTCTGGGGAGAGGAGTGGAAAGTGATTCTTTTGACTTCTTTTATGCCACATCCTGCCTTGTGTATTTGTGTACTTGATTTGGGCCCCCGTTGGACTGTGGAAGTTCTTTAGATGTGTCCTTACTTCTGGAATACCATCACCTGGCTTGGTCCTTGGCACATAGTGTTTGGCAAATGTTTGAGTTAAAGCAGCGGGTCATGCCATTAAAGGTTTAGGGCAAGGTTCCTCATACTTGAGCAGGCATCAGAGTCCCCTCAAGAGCTGTTTAAGGCACAGATTGCTGGGCCCCACTCCCAGAGTTTTCTGATTCAGTCAGTCTGGGTGGGGCCTCGAATTTGCATTTCTGCCCAGCTCCACAGAGAGAACACTTTGAGAACTAGTGTCTGTGCTCTAACAGTTGCTTGGGAGATTAATTCAGGCAGATGTAAGTCTTAACAGGGACTTCCTTCTACCTTGCTTCCCAACCTAGGCTTGTGGCAGCTGCTCTGTATTGGCCTTTGCCTTTCATTCTCATGCTGCCCAGTGTTGACTAGGTTAATGGTAGGGGTGATTGTGGTGCATGAGCTCACAGTCCCATGTAGTAGACACTACCCCATGGTTATTTGAAGGAAGGCCCCACAAAAGCAGAACATTTAGGAACTAAGACTTTGGAAAAGGGAAGGCTGTGTTAATATGGGGAAGCAGACACTGAACCACACCATCACTTGCCCTGACTCTGTCTCTCAGACTGAGCAGGTTGGAGTATTTGCAAGGTGAAGGCCTGCCATGGCTGCGCACTGGACAGGATGCCTGGGAGTTTCTGAAATTTAGAAAAATGGGAGGAATCACTTCCATTGTGCTTTTACTTTGTGAAGCATTTTTTACCTGTTGTTTTTCAGAAGGCTTATAAAGGCAGATACAGATACAGGTGGGGGTACACAGCAAGCCCTAGGACTCCTGATTCCAGCCCTCCAATAGAGCATCTGCTAAACCAGTTTCTAATAGCTGGAATAATGGCTGGTGTTATCTGTGTGCTTACTATTAGCGAGGCACCATGCTAGATACCCTCACATGTCAGCTCATCAAATCCTCACAGGAACATTGCAAGTTTGGCATTATTGTCACTACCTCATAGATGAAGAACTGAGACTTACAGTACTTACGAGACTTGCCCAGACTCAGACAGCTAGTAAATGGAGGATCTGCAATTCAAACTCCAGTCCTTCTCATGGAACACCCCACATTCTCCATCACTCGCTTTCTGTTTTGCCCAGTAACTCTGTAATTGTCCTTTGGGTTGTCTGTCCCCAGAGTCTGGTGAATTTTACTGAACCTGAAACTATGCTGGGTTGCTGGTGTTGTGGAGGGGAGAATGACCAATCACTGTCCTCTAGGAGGAGGCTAAGACCCCAGTGTCTGCAGTGGAAGGAGGCAGAGGCAGCTAGTGGCTTATTGGCTTAAAGGAAGCTGAAGCCATCCCCATAAAGGGATCAAAAAAGGTCTTTGGCAGGAAGAGCTTCAGCAGTGCCTGCAGGCTGGAGAGGTGTACAGGCCAATGGGTGCTGAGAAAGGCCATCATGGCACTTATTGGGACTTTTCCCTTTTTGCTGGAACATAGGAAATGTATGTCAAAAAGTACTAAGAAAATCTTTTTTTTTTTTGAAGATTTTATTTTTTATTTTTTTTAATTTTTATTTATTTATGATAGTCACACACACAGCGAGAGAAAGAGAGGCAGAGACACAGGGAGAGGGAGAAGCAGGCTCCATGCACCAGGAGCCCGACGTGGGATTCGATCCCGGGTTTCCAGGATCGTGCCCTGGGCCAAAGGCAGGCGCCAAACCGCTGCGCCACCCAGGGATCCCTGAAGATTTTATTTATTTATTCATGAGAGACACACAGAGAGAGGCAGAGACACAGGCAGAGGGAGAAGCAGGCTCCCCTGTGAGAAGCCCGATGTAGGACCCCAGGATCACTCCCCGAGCTGAAGGCAGATGCTCGACCACTGAGCCACCCAGGCATCCCAGAAAATCCTCTTTGGTTTTTTTTTTTTAGATTTATTTATTTATTTATTATTTATTTATTTATTTATTCATTTATTTATTTATGATAGACACACACTCAGAGAGAGAGAGAGGCAGAGACACAGGCAGAGGGAGAAGCAGGCTGGATGCCGGGAGCCTGACGCGGTACTCGATCCCAGGACCCAGGATCACACCCTGGCCAAAGGCAGGCGCCAAACCACTGTGCCACCCAGGGATCCCAGAAAATCCTCTTTGTTTACAAGCAACAGCTTTGCTGACTTTGGCAGGAAAGGACTTCCTTAGAAGATTGTGGGGACTCCCAGAATCAGAGAATGACTCAACACCCAATTCCCTGTAGGGTCTCAGAGTAGGTACAGCAGGAACCAAAGGCCAGCTGACTTCAAGGTACCACTGTCACCAGGATAAATCTCCTCTAGCCATGCTCAGTCATTTTATCCCCACAGCTTGGGATGGGCATCCCAGGGAGGAAATGTCCTGTTGGCTCAGCCTAGCAGGGAGACCTGGTGGCATGGTAGGCAGTCCCTCCCAGACTTTATCTAAAAGTTAAAGTCCCCAGAAGAAGAAGAAATGGTCGCTACAAGAGATCAGTCCAGAAAGCCACTAGAAGAAGACTTGAATTGGCAGGTGGCAAATGGAGCACTTCTAACAAGTTACTGAGCAGGCAAGGAACAGACTGGCAGCAGGATATGGCTGTCATAAGGGGATAAGAAAAGAAGGGAGGGAAGAAATGGAAAACTAGGTAGTTACGGTCCAGATGAGATGTAGTGAAACAGAATTTGGCAGTAGAAATGGAAAAGAAGAGACTGATTCTAGAGAGATTGCGAAAGTAGCTATCATCTTGTGGAACAGATACTTGATTGGCTGGGGTGTAACATTTCAGTGCCTGGGTGATGAGGTTGGTTTCTTGAGCTGACATGGTGGAGTCAGGAGGAGGAAGTGTTTGCAAGAGAAGGTGAT